TAATCTACTGAAAAATATTTTTAATAAAGGTTTAAAAATTACAAAACTGGACCATTTGACAAAAAAAATTGTTACAGAAAGACAACATGGTGTGTGATGATGGACATGAGCTAAAATGTCAACACTATTGGCACAGCAATGTTCAGTCAGGTCATCTGGACAGTTTCTTTTTTTGCTGAGACGATTTGTCCTTCATCCAAAGGACTTCCTCAGTCTGAGAAGCCACCAAGCAAAACTGTTTTCCACTAACATCATACTCCATAGTGGAAAAATCAGTTTGCTGGTGCTAAGATGGCCTCTGGGGACTGATCTATTCTCTGGAGCCCGCCCTCTCCCTTGTCAGCTTCTCTGAGACAGTCAACCTAGATGATCTGACTGAGCATTGTTGGATTTTATACCTGGATTACTGAGCATGAACTTTGGAGTTTTGAACCACTTTGGCCTGACTGTCTCAGAAGAGTTGACGAGGGAGAAGGTGGGCCCTGAGGCCATTTTAGTACCAGCAGTTTTTTTTCTTCCCACTATGGAGTATGTTATTGTTATTAGTGGAAATAAGTTTTGTTTGGTGGCTTCTTGGATTGAGGAAGTCCTTTGGATCAAGGATGAAACGTCTCATAAAAAACAAAAACTAAGAAATCGTCCAGATGACCTGAGTGAACATTGTTGGATTTTGTTTTTTAACCTGGATTATTGAGCATCAACTTTAGTGAACACTATTGGTAATTTATTTTATGTTTTCAACTCAAACATTAATTTGAAACAAGTAGATTTATTTTAAATAGTGTTTTAGATGTGCAGAGACAAAGTCAAAGGTTTTCAAAAGTGACAGGAGCATGCTGAAGTTTTCTGTTCAGAAATTCAAGTGTTTATTTTTGCTCTGTATCTTTTTTCAATCGTTTTAATTCAAATTGTTGTTCTTCTAGTTTTTGATCAAAGGACTGAGACAGTTTTCACTTTATTTGAATTCTAGAATTGCGCCGCTCAAGGTGGCTGCATGTTGGAGGAGCTCTCTTACTTTCATTCTGACATTTTGCTTTTGAAAACTTGAATTATTCTTTTTTCTGGATGTAAATCACTTTTTTTTGGATGAATATTTCCTCTGGTTTTGGATGCTGTGCAGCTGGAAGGATTTTTACTGAAACCTTTTTACTTTTGGACGTTTGTTATGATGCGTAACTATGGTATATGGTATATAGTTTATTCATTTAAAAAAAGTACAAAACAATTCCATAACAATATAAAAAAGGATACAAAAGATTTAAAATGAAAGGCAGCAGAAAGAAGAAAAAATCTTATTATATCTGCCCCTTTTTTTCAAACAATCATTTCAGACATAATAATCTTCAAGTAACAGAACAAAATGAATAACTTTCTAATTTTTCTAATTCTAATACAAAACACACACTAAGCTACTTCAAGCTACTTCACTATGACAACAAGGTGGCTTTCTACAACTGGGAGTTGCTAATTAACATCTCAAAAGCTCAAATAACACCTCTACTACAGCCCCAAATCCCAAATGAGTTGAAAAGGAGGTGCCGTGGATGCATTCCCATCTACCTAGAGGCGGTGCTCAAGTGCCTGACCACCGAGATCTTGGAGGTGGCGAGAAACGTGGTTCATGACAGCGGGAGGACTGATGAGTTCTGCCCGACATTCAGGTTGTCCTGCATGCTGCCCAAGAGGACCGAGAGCTCTGCTGGGTCTGGGTGGAGGGATCGGCATGGGCAACCAGTTTCTTCGGATCCGCTGTGGGACAGACTGCTACAAGAAATCCTTCCTGCCCACAGCCATCAGCATCTATAACAACTCTAATGAAACCTGGATGAGCTACAACAACAATTAATTTCCTTTTGGGATTAATAAAGTATGTTTGAATTTGAATTTGAATTGAATTTGAATTTGTATGAAGCAATTAAAAGTGGAACAACATGCAGACAAGATTTCATTTTATTGAAAACTTAGAGGGATTTCCTGAATTACACACCCACACACACATTAAATTGCACACACACACAACCACGTCCTTGTTTTGATCTTTCACCAGGAAGAAAATGTCTGTTAAGAATGAGCTCTTAGGTCAGTTTCAATCCTCAAAGCACTAAGACAGAAAAATACATCGATCTCAACAAATTGCTCCGTTCCTGCTGATAAATTGCAATGCAGCTTCGTGCTGTCATTAAAGCAGAAAGAAAGAGAAAACTAAATGCAAGTTTTAACCAAAGCTTGCTGGATTTTAAATCAATCTCAAATATGAAATTGTAAATCAAGACAAGCAGGTTTTTTTTTTTTTTTTTGACTGCATGATGAGTTTTTTTCAACCGTTTCAAACAGATTTCAAAAAGAGGATTGACTCAGCAGTAGTCATGTGTACAATAGAATTCAAAAAGTAGGTTAATTGTGTTAGGTTTAAAGTGTTTGAATCGCTGAATTAAAATTAAAAAGAATTTTAAAAAAATAGTTGTGGTCTTGTAAGTTGTGTTTATTGGACTTGTGTTGTTTAGCGTTCCATAATTTTGTGTTTACGATTTTGATTTTTTTGAGTATTTGTGGGGAGGAGCTAGTGCTCAACCCAGCAATGGTAAATGGGAACAGGTCAGTCCATCACAGGCTAATTCAGCTGCGACCCCCACCATCTGCTCCCCCGGGCACCCTAGATAGCAGCTCTCTGCTCCAGACAGAGGGCTGTGGTAGCTCAGTGGTCTGGTTGTGTCTTCGTGCGAGTTCGTTCTCTGTGGTGACCCCTGAAGAAAGGAGCAGCTGAAAGAAGAAAACAAATATAAATAAAAATGTTTAACACTGGGTCCAAACAAGGATGGAAACATAACTTTTAACCATTAAGTCAAACCTCTAACTCATATTGTGCACTTTTACAAATTCACTTTGCCATAAGAGCATTTTTCTTATACTTCAGGCAGTTTATTCTCATTTGAAAAACCTTTGTGTTGTACCACCAATGCACATCCACTGTGTAGAAATTTTATAAATGTTGTAAAAATCCACAATATGACGTTTCCTTGCATCAGTATAAGTTTGAACCTGTTTTATATGACATTCCCCTCATGTCCCGTCTCAATTTTAACAACCTGCTAGCTTGTTTCTAAAAACGTCCATCCCCACAGAGCCTTATTTTAAAGTGTCGATCATGAGTAAAAAAAATAAACAAGCTTACTGCACAAAAATATTGTTTTGGTCTCTGTAGCTGTCACTCTGAGTGACAGATAAATGCCATGGCAGCTACCCAATGCTCCTCTTACATGTCATTCTGAAAACTCTAGACGGCAACAGCCAAAAGACAAACTTGAGACTTCAAAACTACAGTCCACAGGCTCTGGAGGCTGGTATCAGAGGAGCAACGTCAAACTCTCCTTTGTTTTTAAGATGTGACCCGAGAACAAACCAGTCATGTGAATCGGTGGTGTTAAATTTGAGACAACAATTTAACAACGATGCCCATTTATAAAATGTGGAGCCAATTCTGGGCACTCACTGCTATTCTGAGCTGACAAACCAAACTGCCATGCCACTGAGGTTCAGCCGACAGACATCACTCTCCGTCACTGATGCAGCACATAATGTGGAACCCTAAACTCAGAGCATGTTTGTGGAGACAACCTATTCCCGAACAAACAATGAACATTTCATAATACAGATAAATTCAAAACTTAGAGCAGCTTATAGTGGCCCACCATGGAAGACAACACAATGAACACATTTACATGAAACTTGGAGTCAACCTCAGTCCAAATCACTGCCAACGCAGCACACCTTTAAAAAATAGCTTTAACACAATCAGTTGGACAGATGAAACCTAATGTGTTGGAGTTTGGATCTTCAATGAAGATTTTGAACCTTTGGTAAATGTTCCAAATTATTGTAGTGTTTATTATATCATAAAAAAATAAAAAAAAATCCTCATGGGATCAGTTCAGTATCTTTCTCCAACAGTCAGGTCCTCTGGATGGTTTCTTTTTGTTGAAACGTTTCATCTTTCATCCAAAAAACTTCATCTTTTGGAGGAGCCACAACAACTCAGTTTTATATAAATAGCACTCCGCATAGTGGGCAACCAGTTTGATGGTGCTCGGATGGTTTTTGGAGTCCGCCCTCTCCCCCGCCGGGTCTTTTGAGGCAGCTATTGTTAAAGTGGTTCAAAATGTTCAATAATCCAGGTATAAAAAAAAATCAGCAAAGTTAAGTCAGGTCCTCTGGATGGTTACGTTTTGTCTGTTTTGTAGAAGAAAAATAAACCATCCAGAGGATCTGACTTAACTTTGTTGGATTATTGAGCATGGATCTGAATTTGCTTTTAGCCTGTTCTGTTCTATAAATGCTCAAAATTGGGAAAAAAAAGGACTCGAATGTTTCCCTATTTCATGATGTGAGTGTCCTCATCCTTTCAGTAGGTGGTTCTCATAAAAGCTGTCACTTAGCCCCCTTCAGCTCCGGGATTGGCTTGTCTCCTCTGGAGGAGTGAGGAGGGGGGTGGGGCAGTGGGCGGTGCGGTGGAGCCACATGGAGCCAGCTGGATGTTTCTGTGGCTGTTAGTCTGTTCCGTCCTCCGATGGAGTCATCTGGACATCGTGGAGCAATTCAGCGCATCATCAGCATCTTCTGTGCTGGAGACAAAAAAAATGAACTGCCTTTTAAATTCTCTGAATCTTGTTCTATAACGTTTATTCTTTTGTTCACGGACCACTAATACAAAACAAAAAAGACTGTGATTTGTGCGTAAAAGTCCTTTTTGATGGAATGAAACATTTGGAAGGGACTGGCATCATAGAGGGACCGATTCTTTGGACTTGAATATTTCACTCACAACGATTTTAAAGCTTTCTGTGCATTTTAAGAGAATTGTTCAATAAACATTGTATTGCATGCTTGTGGGAACTTTTCCCTTCGCTGACAGGAATTTCATATTTTTTAGAGGAAGAATCGTTTTGACTTCTCTGAGAAATCCACTTTTTTTTTTTTCGTATAAAAACTGGTTTGATGGAAACATGACTTTGGTTCTTCTGAACATCCTGCTCCAGCTGCTTCTGCTCCATCTCTCACCGGTGAGCGTGTCCGCGCAGCGCACACATCCAGCGCGCTACTTCGGACACATAGCAGAAAACTCCCCGGCTGGGACGCCTGTGGACCGGGTCATGATTCCGCTCCTCACCGCGGAGTGTCCTGATACGAATCTCAGCGCGAGCCTAGGCGGGAATTACGCATCGGATTTCAGGCTCGTTCACAGGCACCGGGACCATCGGGGGCATCTGAGTTTGGTCTCCGCGAAACCTTTGGACCGGGAGTTTATAGCGATGTACGAGCTGACCGTGGAGCTGCCGCCGAGGTGTCAGAGGAGAGCAGCTGCCATCCAGGTCGAGGTGTCAGACAGGAACGACAACATACCCAGCTTCACCAGCGGGAACAGAACGGTTGAAGTAGATGAGTTGACTCCTCTCGGAACCGAGCTGGCTCGCTTTGACGCAAAAGACAGAGACGCGGAGAAAAATGGACGCGTAACTTTTTACGCATGGCCGGAGGAGTCCAGTCTGCTCCACGTGGTTCCGCAGACCGGACAGGTGTGTCTTGTCGGGTCCCTGCTGGGACTCAGCCAGGTGACTCTGCGCCTTCACGTGAAGGACAGAGGAGACGTCGCGCTGATAGGAGAGCCCGTGTTCCTGCGCGTCAACGTCCGGAGGTCCAGCAGGGCGCGGCGGATGTCCCGAGCTCTGCCCGAGGATCTAACCTACTTGGTGACCGTTCCAGACCACATCAGAGTCGGGGATCTGGTGTTCACCGTGCCGGACCAGAGGTTTGAGCAGCGGTGGTTCGAGGTGATATCTGAGGCCAACTCACCTGTGCAGATCGAAAGGGACTCTGGACGTTTGTACCTGGCGCGCAGTCTGAGGGAGCCCGCGGAGGTGGTGGTCAAGATCCAGAACGTCCGAGGTGAGTCAGAGTCTTTTCTCTCCGCGCGTAAAAAACGCTAAAGTGGCGGACTGTGGTGTTTGGGGAATCTGTCCCACTTTTATCCAGCACATGACTGTGAACATGTTAGGGGTTCTTGTTGTTTGAATATTTTAGTGGTAATAATTGTTTTGGATTTCATAACTTCCCACTTCAGAATAATTTCTCTGCTCAAACAAAACCGAAACAGAGTTTCACGTCACGTCATTGTGCGCAGCAGCTGATGAGTCTGTGGATCTTTTTAGACTCGATCACGAGCTGATTTTGAAGATTAGACTCGCATGCAGCATCACCCCAGCTGCTTTAAGCAGCTTCTTCACTACTTTCAGTAACGACATGTTTCCCTCAGAGACTGAGTGCAGCTCATTCATCCAGAGGCTCATTCTGTGCTGGCTCGTCTCCAACTCGGTTTAAATCGACCTCAACCGTCAACGGCTACTTTCCACTCTTTCATTCATTCCTCACAACTCTCTACTGAACGCTGCCAAGTGTGTGTGTGCGTGTGTGAGCGTGTGTGCGTTCTGCAGAAAGACAGAGTCAGATGGAGCGTGCTGCAGGTTGCGAAAGGACAAACTGTGTTTTGTGTTATAATGAGGGAGTAAACACACTCCAATACACTCCACACACATTTTACATTTACAGGTGACACACACACGCACACACACACACAGACACACGTCTGATAGTTCTCTCAGGAGCTTATTGAGATTTTTGACAGTTTCTGACAATAAGATGCGTTTTGCTGTGAATATTAGACTTCTGAAAGTAAAAATCTCCCACAAAGCAAGTTGGGTCAGCTGCTTCTGCAACACTTTTCTCATCTGTGGTCAGTTTATGTGAAGTTCATAAAGGCATTTTTGATAAGCCCTACATTTCAGGATAAACTGCTTTCATGTTTTAAGTATTTTTTTTTTTTTTTCAAACTTCTGTTGTTTCAGATCAATTTTCTAATTATTGTTGCCCTGGTGAGTTGTTGATGTGAATGCTGTGCTCTAAAAATGTATTTAAAGTTTGGATTTGCATGAGTCACTCCAATTATGTGTTTGTTTTAGTGAAAATCATCCGTATCAATCTATAATCTCTTCATCCTTACTGCTTTGGTGGTTTTTGTTTGTCGTTCTTATTATTGTATGACACACATGCATATCTGTTTAGTTATGTGCATTGTTAGCAGTAGATTCTCAGTTCTGAGCCTTAATGGCAAGACCGCAAATAAACTAATTGGTGGTAAAATGTCATTTATCTAAACCTATAAAATGGCTAACTCTTAATTTGTGCCATTTTTAGTACTTTTTTCTTTTCTTTCGGCTGCTCCCTTCTTCAGGGTTCGCCACAGCGAACTAGCTCACAGCTCACATGAAGAATCGGTGATTGTTTTTACACCAGATGCCCTTCCTGATGCAACCACAGACCGCTGAGCTACCACAGCCCTCTGTGTGGAGCAGAGAGCTACCATTTAGGGCACCCAGAGGAGCAGATGGTGGGAGTTAAGGACCTTGCTCAAGGGCCCAGAGTGGGGCAAATGAGGTTAAAGGCAGGTGTGGGTGCTTCACCTTTCCAGTCCACATTTAGATGTTGTTGGTATGGGGAGTCGAACCAGCGACCTTCTGATTACAGCTCCACCCTCTCTAGCCTCTGCACCACCACTCCTCTGCCATTATTAGTATAAGCAATCAACAGAAAATAGACTTTTGACACTTTGAAGTTTGAGCTGACCACATAAAGTTATTCTACACAAAGTTAGACACAAAAAAATAAACTAATGCATTACATGTGATAATGTTCAAAATCCATCCATCCATCCATCCATCCATTATCTTTACCCGTTTATTCCATTTTGGGTCACGGGGGTCGCTGGTGCCCATGTCCAGCAATCACTGTGCGAGGGCGGGGGACACTCTGGACGGGTCGCAAGTCCATCACAGGGCCACATAGAGACAAACGAGACAAACAACCATTCACTCTCTCACTCACACCTAGGGACAATTTAGAGTTACCAATCAGCCTAACATGCATGTTTTTGGTCTGTGGGAGGAAACCGGAGTACCCGGAGAAAACCCACGCATGCACGGAGAGAACATGCAAACTCCACCCAGAAGGCCCCTGGACCGGGGTTTGAACCAGGGACCTGTTCGCTGAGAGGCAGCAGCTCTACCAGTTGCGCCACCGTGCTGCCAATGTTCAAAATAGTTTCAATTAATTAACCTTTATTTAATCAGGCAAATCCCATTGAGATCACAGATCTCTTTTACAAGAGAGGCCTGGGCCTGAAGGCAGCCGGTCTGTGGGAGGAAACCAGAGTACCCAGAGAAAACCCACGCAAGCACAAGGAGAACATGCAACTCCACACAGAAAGACCCCAGGTTCATCGGGGATTGAACTCGGGACCTTCTTGCTGTGAGGCAACAGTGCTAACCACTGAGCTGTCGTACTGCCACAATGAGAAGCTGAATAAGTTTTGGAGGTGGTGAAGATAAAACACAAAAAATCATAAACCAGCATGTGGGGCTCAGATGCAGCAGTGGTGGCCTCAATGTGGAGTAAAACCTGCTACTTCCATTTATGTATTACTTTTATTTAAGTTAAAATATCAACTTTAAAACCACTTTGTTTGATATAAACTTGCTGCTGCCATGCATATCGTTCAAATGTCAAAGTTCTGTTTAAAGTTCGACTTAACTTTCCCCTTTCTCTCACAGATGATTAAATAACGCCATTCGTCTGTCAGTCACAATCATCAGCTCACTCCAGACCAGCTCAACTACCACCAGACTGTTACTGAAATGTAATTAAAACAAATCAAATAACTATTTGAGAGCAGCATTAATCAGGGCTGCTGGCCAACATGCTGTCAGTTTAAAATGTGCTGAAGACCTGCAGCTCTGATCTGTTTGACAGGATGAAATGTCATCCAGATGCTGTGACCTCCCCCCACCTCAAAGGTAAATGTTTAAGTGAGAGCCTAAAGTCCTCACATCTGGACGTCTATGCTGGCAGCTTGTTTTGGCAAAATATGGCCAATCAGTCAATCCAAACTGCATCCCGGCTGTTTATTTGTGAAAATTAGATGTGTTTGCTCACCTGGAGCCGTCCCAGGTCCGAACGCAGGGGCTGTAACAGATCCAGAGCCGTGGACAGGAAGCTTTGTTTGCGTTGAAGTCGGCTGCAGAGCTCAGGTTAGCTCTGGTTTGTGGCCACAGAGGAAGTGCATGTGATTTGGTCGACACGCAGCTGAATGCGCTGTAAACTGGTCGAATGATTGGGACAGCCTGCTTTATGTCGGCTGGTTTTGATCTGTGGGAACCAGGTCTGAGCAGCAGCCATCATCTGGAGGAAGCAGAAAATCAACCTCTCACTGGTCAACTGACTCAGCAGATGCTCTTTGGGTGGTTTCACCCAGCAGCAGTCAATCAACAACCATCAGTCATCAGCAAATAAAATACACTTATTGTCAACTCCATAAAAATGAAGCAACAACATCAACAAAAAACTAAAATTTACTGTACACTATTCCCTCCTTTATTGAGGGGGTTCAGTTCCAAATCCGCCCACGATAAGTGAAATTCCGCAAAGTAGTGACATTATATTTATATACACATATTAAGGCTTTAGAAACCCTTCTCACACACTTGCAATGTTCTAAACTCTTAAACTTACATCATTTTAACAACATACAGTACATACCGATGCATTCAGGTCTCTCTTGTAAATGAGTCCTCGAGGCTCAATGGGATTAACCTGTCTAAATAAAAGTTGAATGAATGCATACCGTACTGTATATGTAGCTACTAAATTTTACTTACCAGGCTCTGCAGAACAGCAGCGGCTCAGTTCATTTCCGGTCCGACTCTGTTCCGTTTCTGCAGACGCACCATGTAGCAATGAAGCCCACAATCAATGCCCTAAGCTCTTAAACCTACTAATTTTAACAACATGCTTGTCTTATAAGCGTGTCTCTGCTTGGAGGTCCTCGTCGTTGGCCGGTCGAAGAGATGAAAAATGTCCTATTGAGCTTCAGATGGACCACCGGATCATCGGCCACGCGCGTTCGCCTGGAGGTCTACATGGGCAGGCTACCAGCTCTCAAGATTCACAGATGGGTCTGGGCGGTGATCATCATATTAAAACTTCACCTCTGGTTTTATCAGCAAAAGGAAATGGGGATTTTTAGGTAGGGCCCTGTTGCCTTCTGGGAAATGTGGTCATTATGAGCGGGAATACAGTGGAGGCTAACTGAAAGAAAACTACAAAACGGCAGCGCCTGTACAAACTATTTTATTTTTATATAAACTTTTTACTGTACAGCACTGTATCTAGTAATGTCCAAATCACATGAGTAATAATAAAGCTGACAATCATGTGTCCTGTACAATTTTTTTTATACAATATGGACTGTACGTCCACAACCTGTGATAGAGCTAGTCCGCAGAAGTCGAATCGCAAAGTAGCGAGGGACTACTGTATTGTGAATATTAAAATCACAAGTTTGATGTGAGATCATTTCATATGGAATTTATTTCCATAATATTAAAATATATATTTTGCATTTTTCTAGCCATCCTCCTGCCCTTGTGTCAAAATGACCTACAAGACTGAGGCCTTGTGGGTCATTTTGACCCAAGGGGAGCAGGAGGCGACAACGTTATGTTGTATCCAGCAGATTTTGTCTCGTGCTCTCATTGTAAAGAAGTTAAATGCTGTCAGAGCGAATGATACAAATGTTTTAGTTTCCCTTCAAAACAAGCCTTCTTACACCAAAACAGCTAAATAGTCTGAATGTTGTGTGCACTTAAACGCCTATTGATCATTTTTAAGTGTGCCTTTTTTGAATGTACGTTTCGCCGCTGACCCCATTCAGAGCCGTGCATTGATTAGTTTTCACGCAGATACTCCTTTGTGCCCTTTTCAAACTGGGAGTGTGTCAGCCTTGACCTGCTCCAGTTAATACACAATGTTCGGTAGATAATAGACTCTGGATAAGT